TGCTCTCCCGCCCTGCTGCTTTGGGCATGCCTGAGTTCCCTCTCCTTACCTGGATCCTTGTGGCTGACTGCTCCTCTGTTCAGGTTCCTGGCTTTTAATCCCCTTTTTCCTGGTCTCTCGCCCTGCTGCTTTGGGCCTGCCTGGGTTCTCTCTCCTCACCTGGATCCCTATGGTTGACTGTTCTAATCTGACTGATTCTAATCACTAATAATTATCAATACATCATGATTACATATGTGGTCAATTTTCAGACTATGGTAGTTGGTAAAAATCTTAAATTTCTTTATTTTTGGCTTTAGTGGTTGGTAATAACTGGTGTTCCTTGTGGACATATGGACATTATCCTATCACTGACAGCTCTGTACTTCAGGGCAGACCTTGAAATGTTCTTCTTGACAATGATGCCATTCCCTTTCAATGTGTCATTCCCAGCATAGTAGACCATATGCCTATCTGATTCAAAATGGCCAAGACCAGTTCATTTCAGCTCACAAAAGCCTAGGCTATCGCTCTGCATGTGATCCACTGAATTTCATGCTTTGGAAGGACTGGGTCAATTCCTGTGTGCAAACAGCCCAGAGCAGTGCCTGCCACGTGGCACATGCTGGCTTCCTGAGTAAACTCTCATCTACTGAGCCACCCCATTGCCACGGTGGCCAGTGTGGCTTCTTCCCAACACCTGGAGGAATGCACCAAGTCCCAGGCAGGGTGGTAAGGCCCTGCCACTGCCCGAGTGCCAGGCCCATTCCCCCTGCATCTGTTATCTGTCTAATATCCACCAGGGCCCTGGGGGATACAGGACCATACATCCCATTTTACCAAGGAGGTACCGAGAAGTCACACAGCTGGTATGGAAGAGAGCTAGGAGTCGAACCCAAGGCGTTTAGCTCACTGGAGGTGCTCAAAAAGTACTGCGAGTGAAAGCTTGTCCGACTCTCACGCTGGAGACTGCTCTCCACTCACTTGGCTCTGATTCCTCGTCACCATCCCACCCTCATCCCAAGCCCAGGAGCTTCTCACTGGCATTTCCAAGGTCTGGACACGTGGCACCCCGCTCCCCAGCCCCAGGAAGGTGCAGACCATGCAGCTGGAAGGGCAGGTGTGAGCAGCACCTGGAATAGTGGGTGAGGGGCTGGCGCCTGGGCAAGTCCCCTTCCCGGTCCAGCTCGTTTTCCTACCTCGAGGCTCTTCTTGGCTCAGGACTGTAGGGAGGAAAAAAGAGAGAGCTTAGAGAAGAGAAAGGTCACATGATAGTCACTGGTGAGGGGGCAGGAGAAGGAAGAAAGACGACCAGAGAAAGGGGCCGGGGGAAGAGGCGGGCCTGTCAGCCTTTGCAGGGATCTCGTTGGGAGACGGCCCTGGACTAGCCCTGTGCTGGCTGGGGAAGGCAGGGGCTGGCGTGCGGGGACCTGGTTTTCGCTGCAGTCCTACCACCCACACTGAGGGGCTCCGGGTCAGTCCTTCCCCTCTGGAGCCAGCTGTCCCTGTCTGAAAATGAGGACACAGAGGAGATGGCCCTTTCTTCAGCTCTGGTAGACAGAGGCTTATGATGCTCTTCTCAAACTGACAGTTTCAAAAACAAGAGGGCATTTCCCTAAAGCTGGACGTCTTCACTCACAGGCAAGTAGGAAAAGTGACCAAGGTCTGCTCCCAAATTTAAAAACAGTGGATTTTTAATGAGTCCCTGCGTGACGAAAACAGTTTCCAAGACTACTAACAGGCTGGGGTTTGAACCCCAGCAGTGCAGCAGAAGGCAGTCCTGACGACCCGCTCTGCCAAGGTAACTAACACACGGAGGTGCCGTCATCTGGAATCAGCCTGACCATGAGTTTGCGTTGTCCTCCCTTGGGCTATGTACTTTTTCTGGATAAGACACTGAAACGCTGGAAAACAAGGAACTCTAAGGACAGACGGATGGTGATCAGGAACTGAACCCCGATCTCCTGTGTGGAAGAAGAGAACCCTCCCACTGACCCCTCAGTGCCTCGTCATTTCAGACTAAAGAAGGGAAAGGACTGTCA